AATGTCACTGCCAAAGAAGTCAGTCCCAGCTTGGAGAGAGTAAAGTAAAAACAAATACCAAGCTAACGGTGGTGTACATTACCTTTCCCACATTGGGTAAAACACTGATGGCAGCACTAGTGTAAAATCTGACATTTGAAGCCTGTAATGTGCTTTACTGTGTATGTTTTAGTGTTTCAGTAAATTCTTCAGTAAATACTTTAACTTGAAGCCTCACTCTTAACACTGGAGGAAGCTTTAGTACAGTTTGCTTCACTTTACTTAGAGCGGACAAATACAACTTATGAGCTCTTATAATTTGTTATGATCTGTAATTATAATGCATTATGCCAACAATTCATAAACATGGCTATAATGTGTAATGCATTTTTATAAATATTTATAGCTATGTTTATAATGTCTTATGAATGCATTATAACATGTTATGAATGTGTTTATAGATGCTTACAAAGGTGACATTCATAGAAAGTGTTACCGTAAAATTCTTCAACCGATCTCTCCCAGTCATTCACCCTCCTACCGCCCTGGCTCTCTCATCTTTGCCCCCTGCTCATCTCACCATCAACGAGCAGGAAGTTAACAGCCTTTTCAGCAGACAGAAGGTCAGAAAAGCCCCAGGACCTGACCTAGTCTCTCCATCTACCCTAAAACACTGCTGTGAACAACTATCACCAATATCTTCAACAGATCACTGGGATTCTGCTCTGTTCCCCTAATGCTTCAAAACATAAACCATCCTTCCAGTCCCCTCCAAAAAATGAACATCACTGGATTAAATGACTACAGACCAGGAGCCCTGACCACCGTAGTCGTGAAGGTCTTAGAACGCCTGGTCCAAGCCCACCTGAACACCATTACAGACCCTCTGCTGGATCCGCAGGTGGCACCACCGAGGTAGGCCTCATGGCCAATAGGGATGAGTTTGCCTACAGAAAGGAAGTCAAGCAGCTTGTCTCCTGGTGCAGCAGCATCCACCTGCTGCTAAACACAGAAAAGATGGAGGGGAAGGTGGTGGACTTCAGGCGTAGCCCCCCTACCCATCACCATCAATGGCTCCTGGGCACCACTGTATCCAGGGATCTGGAGTGGGAGTGGAACATGGTCTCCATCACCAAGAAGGCACAGCAAAGAACGTTCTTCCTAAGAAATTCAACCTGCCACAGAGCCTGATAATGCACTTCTACACAGCATCATTAAGTCTATCTTTACATCAACCAAACCATCTGGTTTGGTTCCTTCAACATGCAAGAACAAGCCAAACTCCAGCGCTTAATCAGGACAGCAGAGAGTATCATCAGATGTATCAACCAATGCTTCAGGACATCCACAACAGCAGGGTGATGAGATGTGTTGCCAAAATAACAGCTGATCCTTCTCATCCTGGACATCATCTCTTCCAGCAACTTTCCTCTGGTAGAAGACATAGGCCTTTAAAAAAAAGCGCAACCACACATGCTAACAGCTGTTTCCCCAGAGCTCTAGCGCTCATCAACCACAGTGGACACCTCACACTTTAAACGTAAACTGAACCAAAAAAAACCTCCTTTACAGTATTACAGTAACTCCTCCTGTAGAATAAAGCTAACTTGTACTACCACTTTAGAAATGTTCATATCACTCTGTAATATTCTGTATATAATAGTTTTATAGCATATTTTATAGCACATGTCTACTTGACCTGCATATGTACAGACATTTATAACATGTGTGCAGATGTGCACACATCTTATATGTACATCTCCGAAGCTCCTTTCACATTCACAAGTTTTTAGTATTATTCTTTATTCTATGTTCTATTTATTGTCTTTTATTTTACTTTTCCCTTAGTTCAATACTTGTTAATGGTCTGTGTGCTGTCTGGTTTGTTTAGCATGTTACATGTCATACATATGTGCACTCAGCAAGACAAATTCCTTGTATGGGCGGCATACTTGGCGAAATAAAGCGATTCTGATTCTGATTCTAGCTCATCTCTCCAGTTACACGCTGAAATCCCATACGGTTCACCTCACCGGAGAACACCACGGCTCCGGCGGATAAATAATTCAAACGTGTCCCAAACCGGGTTACGCACCGCCAAAACAAACATGACACAATTAAAGAACCTCTAGTGATATCTCAGCGTCTGTTTCTATCTCTTGCACATCTCTGGCTAGGAGGTCACCGGGGGTCACTCAGGATGAGTCGGCTAAATTGCTTTTTCGGAGTGATAAATACAAGGGTCATGCAGGTTGTCCACAGGAGAAGGAAGCAGTTAACTTTTGCCCATGCATAATTCAACATGACACAAAGAGCTTTCTCAACCCCCCAAAACAAAATCGAACTGAAGCTAAAGTCTGGCAGCAGTGCTGGTAAGGTTAGCCGAGGGCCTGTGTAAACCGAGGCCATTAATATGACCTTTCTGTTGCTTGGATCCCTGGTAAAATTACACCTGACCAGAGGCCCAATTTGATGCTTTTAGCACTTTGATTCTGACGTTAATCAGAGATAAGGTTTACACCAAATGGGTAACCAGAAGTGTACTTTCTCTTTAGAAGATTTTATGACTATTTGCCTCCAAAATTGCGCATTCTTGATGCAAAGCAACATATGATGATGCAAGGCATGGGAACAAGATAATTAAGTCGTGGCCACAACTTAGTAAGTTGCCTTACGATGGCATAGCCACACATTAGGATCTCATTCCCACACCCAGATAGACCACTGCCCTATAGTAAAATACAGTAAAACTACTGTAAATATGTCTTTTTCAACTACATCACACAGAAACAGACAACTAGACCTAGTAGCTCCATCATGGCCTCTTAAATCCCTATGTGCATCACAATCACAAGCTCACTGACCACTCTTGTCTGTGTAAATGAAAGTGGATCATTGCATCAGCATACAAAACAAAGGCTTTCCGTCAATACTGAGCTGCCATCCAAACGTCCTCCGCGTGAACCGGCTGGCCTTTGCGGGCCTCCGGTGGGAAACATCTAAAGCAACTCATCAGCGGCGAGTCAATGGCCCACTCTCTCTCGATCCATCCACTCCGCCCGCATCTCGCTGCAAATTCGGGTCAATGGCTATAATTAGCCTCCGCTTGGCAGGTGACTTCAAATCCAAGCCCCCAGACGCGCTCAAATATGCCATGTAGGTGTCACTTTAAAGGGTGGGAGAGAAATGCCACTGTTTCTAGGCATGCTAGCTTTAGTTAAGTGTCACGATCAGGATGATGGAGGACATGGCTGTTTAGATTGTGTTGGCAGAGGCTTTTGTGGCTGCTGAAACTGATGGCTTGTGGGGACAAGTTAACCCATTTTTAGGGGGGGATGTAAAGGCATGTGGACTAGACTATGCTAAGCTTGCCTTATCTTGATTTTTCTCAAACAGACAGACACGTTGATGATGGTGACAGATACCCAACTGCCGGCAAAATATCTGTCAGCATCAGTGACAGCACTATTTCAGGATGCATCAGTTTCTCTTTGATAAAAGCCCCAGTGTACCTGCTAACTGCCCTATACTTCAGCGTTTATTGTGCTTCAAAAGTTTGGGGACAGTTAGCTTTTCAATATGTTTTAAATATAAGCTTTTTATTGGTTTCCTCTTAATACACTTACATTGTGTTTGAAGTGTTAAGCTATAGCAAAGAAACAGAGAAAAATGCTTGTATTATATATATATATATATATATATATATATATATATATATATATATATATATATATAATAATACATGATGTCAGCACTCTGGCACTCTGGTATTTCAACCACCTTTGGGCCAAATATCCGCTCTTAACAATAGTTTGAAAAAGAAATTTGTAAAATCATTGTATAAAAGATGCTTCTTTGATCAACCAAGACTTTGATGAGCATGCAACTGAGTGTGTGCAATCTTTGCCATTAGCTGTTTCACGCTAGCTAAGCCTTTGCAGATGTTTCTTCTCAACTCAAAAGTAACAGAGAGGAAACTCAAACTTCAAAAATGCACGTTTTCCCAAACTTTTGCTAGGTATTTGATGGGCAAAAACCATCCCCAAAATATCAATAATAACTTCCTAAGGCTTCTTTAAAGCTGCAAAGCAGGCCAATGGTGAAAAACAGCTTCCCCTACTGCAGGGGTGTCCAATTTCGGTCCTAGAGGACTGATACCCCCAGGCTTTGATTTTTCTAGTCATACATAACTAACATAACATAACTAACCCATACTTGATAGCCTGCAGAAATAAATAAATAACTAAATAAACAAACATGCCAGTGAAATCACCTTAAATCTAGTCCATACATCTCCAATTTCTCATTTTGAGATTGTTGTAAGAATGTTATAGGATTGTTTAACTTATTTTTAGACATTGTTACATAAATAATTTTATTAAGTGAAATTATCTGAAATTTTCTCACCACGTTGGCCCATAATTTAGCTTATTTAAACAAATTGCATTTAAAAATAAATATCTAAAACAATAACAATGTCTAGAAACAGGTTAAACAATTCTTTAGCATTCAAGAGAAATGCTAGACAGATTTGCTTGCCAATATATGCCAAGATAACTGCACCTGCCAAGTTATTTATTGCTGTAGTGTAGCATCCAAAATGTTAAATTGAGTTATGAACGCTGACGCCATTCAGCATGACTTTGCATCACTGTTTGCCAACTTCCACCACTGTTCAGTGTTTCTACATGCCACACTTCATCACTTAGCATTTTGCTATTAATGCATTAAGTTAAATCAACATCAATGAACAGTAGATGACATGCAGCTTGAAATTTAAACTGAGAAAGTTGTCAATCTAAAGGCTTTAAGACAAACACACAAGTGCATCCAGCAATAAAGGCAGCATAGAGCTTCTATTATACAGCAATAGGAAACACAGTAGAACACAGAAACACTCCAATTTCACATACTGATCCATTTTACTGACCAACGTGGACATGCAGCACTACTCTGGGGGAAATGAAAAAAACAACCCAAAAGCTCCTTTTAAGACCCAGAAAAGACACAATAGCTCTCACCTCTGTTGTCCAGGCTGTGTTTATGATTGAACTCTCCTCCACCTTTCCCCAGGCTGTCCACGCTGCGTGTGCCCTGGCTGCTGAAGTCCTCCTCCAGCTGGGCCTTTCCGTCCAGTAGCTGCCCTGGCTGGTCTTCATCCTCACAGTCGCAGTCGTCCAGGATGGGGGTCTCACGGATGGGCATGCCAATGACAGAGGTGTGCTGGTGGGGCCGTGGACCCCTGAAGCCATCCCGAGTCTGTGGGGGTCCCAGCAGGACAGAGGGTATGTAGTGGATCTCGTGGGTGGCCTCGGTGCTGGCGCTTTTCTGCGGAGCCCGGCGGCGCCGGCACCAGCGCTGACGAGTGTACAGCACCAGGGTGAAGAGGAGGATCAGGAGGAGGAGAGCAATCAAGCCACCCTAAGAGAGAGAGAAGAAAGAGGTTCATGATAAACTCCTTAAATTCCTTTATTATCCAATTGTTATTTAATTGTAAAACTTATTATTTAGTAACTGAGCAGTAACTATTATTAAACTAATCTGCAAGTTATTTAGTTCTTAGATAGAGGGACTGAATTGGTGGTACACATACAGTTCTTGGAGAAGGTCTAGAATTATTTCTGCCCTTTTAGTGATGCATTTGAGTCATATTACATTATAATTTATATGTAATTACATAATTATTACATAGTTAGTGAAATAAGTTATATTCTCTTTTAGGTTTACCCACTGTATTAACAGGGTTGAGTCTGCACTTGTGACGCTTTTCTGTTAGAAGTCAAGAGTGAACCCTTAACAGTTATTACTGTCATTTTACTATGTAATTTGTATGTAATTATGTAATTACACAACACTTAACAGTTTGTTACATAGGTAATTATATTGCATTATTGATTTACACTCTGTATCCATACATTTTTCTATGTCAAAAATATGTAAAGGATGTTTTTCTTTCTACAAAACAAGACTGTACACACAAAAATAACTATATAAAATTAAAATCATAATAAAATATCTCCTCCAATGATACAGCAAAAATAGTGGATTTATTCAGCAGCCATAAGAAGATAGAAACATTTCAGATTGGGGATGGAAATGCTGAGCGAGTCACTAAAGCTCTCTATCATTTCCAGGTGAATATAAATGCCTTGCGTTACTGCAACAGTTTCCCTTCTGGCAAAACAGTGAGTGAGTTTATTCCAGCCAATCACATCTGGCACATCATATTACTGAGAGACACCAGCTTGAATGTGAGCAGTTGGGTGTTCGACTGCTGCAGTTCATTCCAAAGTGAGATTGAATTGTCTCTGCATGTCACTGTGGGGCTGAAGATGGCAAAAACATGATATATTGGCAAGTGAAAGCAGCAGAAATTCGAGCAAAGTATCTCATATTTCCTGTTACGCAAAATGTTTCAACCTATTTCTAGATATTTTTAAAAAAATAACTAAATGAAGGAGTAAACTTGCCTCGCAAACTTGCAAACTTGCTACACATTCACAACACATTGTGGCTAAACTGAAATAACTCTGAAAACTCTGTTTAGATGTCAACAAACTTGAGTTGTTTTGGTGGTAACACTTTGCTTGGCTAGTCCACTGTAAATGCTTTGTAGATGATTATTTTGCATTTAACAAACCTTCTGCTAATTATTTATGAAATAGACCTTAGTTTCCCCCTAATCCCAACCTTAACCTCAACTCAAAATCTAAATCTACCCCTCACATTGGTCTTAAGTCTAACCCTGAAACTAATCCTATCACTAACCCTAACAACATTGATACCAAATTATACATCTATAAAATATACATTTTTCTGTTGGTTGATATCATAATATGGACGTCACATGGTTTTAAGAGTAATAGTGATTATGTTGCTGATTTTGTTCCATTAATTAGCATAAGTAGCCCCACCCCCATTGCTACAACAATTACATTATTTAATAATGTTAGTCTCTGCTGTTTATTTAAGTTTAAGAAATGTAAACATTCACTACAGACAGTCAAATTTCACAATTCACAGTTGATAACTGACCAATTAATCTAAACAGTCATTTCAGTACTCTTAATCGAAAAACTATTGTTATAAAATAAAAAAAAAAAATGTAAAAAACAAATGAATATAAAATTTTATTAGCCAATATTATTGGCAATTGAAAAATGTAGCCCCTCAAAATCGAGATCATGATCAGCCACAACATTTAAATATTGGTCAGCCACTATTAGAAGTAGAAAAAACAAGTAAAAATATGTAGTGATATGTTAAAGAATCTTATATTCTTCCAACTAACTCACATTATCATTATTTTTATTATCTAATTACTTTATTTTCTTTACTAAATTAGACAAGCAAGGCTTGCTTTACAGTAATTTGATTAAGTAAAGTTAAAGCCCATTCAAGGTAGTGAAATAAAATAAAACATAGTATTCAATAAAGCATGTTAGTTATCTTTAATAACAATTGAACAATTTTCCATGCATTATAATTCATTAACATTAGGGTGAAGTTGCCAAGCAACACGTCAATTAAAGATGAAGAGCATAATGGCGTATACTAACTTCGCACATGATACAGAATTCAGGTAAATGAGGTAAAGGCAGAACCTCAGCCAATCAGATTTCTCTCTTTCATCACAGTAATGTGAGACATATTGCCTACATATGAGAAGCTTTCAGTTGCCGTGTTGTCATTTCCCGCAGTGCAGACAGCATAAACACTGTTCACATTTCAGCGGCTCGGCGTCTGAGTGGAACAGAGTTTCTTCTCCTGTTCATGTCCTTGGCCTGAGGGCTCAGTAAGTCCCTGATGCAGCGCGGGATCCATTGCTCCATGGTTTGTCCCATTTCATGGCACGTCAGGGACATCAAAGAGCCCTGCTCGCACAAGCTGCTCATGCATAATACTCTTAAATCAGGAATCAATTGTTAGTGAGGGGAAGAGAAGCACTGGGTGCAGAGATACTGCAGGCTACATAACCTCCTTCATTCTTTTCCACTCTAACATTCAGCACTCCTCCTACACCACCACAGCTCGAAAAGCCTTAATTGAAAAATTAAATTACTGGAAAATAAATAAATAAAGAAATAAAACTGTCCACAGATGTTCAATGTCACAATCAAAACTCCTCTAATGGTTTTAATACAAATTATTGCTTGCTTTCTTGGCTGCAACCACTAATTTTAAGCAGCTACACTCTAAATTGGTTTGTCCATTGAAAGTAAAAATAAAATACTTGGCGAGAAATAATGCAACTGGCAACTCAACTCAAATAAGTACTCTGAATAAAACCATGCAAAAGGAAAATTTTGGTTTAAAAGCAGTATTTTAAATCTTAAAAACACTTCAAATCAAACTCCAGTAGAGTTTTAAGCTTGTTAACTTAAAAAAAAAAAAAAAATAAATACAAATTAAAAAAGAATTCAAAGAATTGAAATTCTCAGAAAAGACAGTTAGCATATTTCTAGCAAAAATCTCTTTTAAAAAATGAATTTTTCATCCAATCTGACTGTTCACTTAAGTTAAAATCAATTTCTTCAATTAGAAAAAAAGTAAGACAACTGGTTTCACAGCTTTAAATAAACTCAACCATTACAGTTTACAGTTTAAATGTTCCAATAACAGATAATATCAGTCAATGTAAATGATTCAAGTCAAAATTAAATAGGCTTTAGTAGTTTTAGTTAAACCATGACTGACATACATCATCTAAACCGCTTATCCTTCTGGGTCGCGGTGGGGTGCTGGAGCCTATCCCAGCTGTCATTGGGCGGAAGGCAGGATACACCCTGGACAGGTTGCCAGTCCATCGCAGGGCAGACAGACATACATATACAATCACACACACATTCACAATTCAGCATTTCCAATTGGCCTGACTGCATGTCTTTGGACTGTGGGAGGAAACCGGCGTACCCGGAGGAAACCCATGCAGACATGGGGAGAACAGGCAAACTCCACACAGAAAGGACCCTGGTCACCCGGCCAGGAATCGAACCCAGGCCCTTCTTGCTGTGAGGCAACAGCGCTACCCACTGCACCACCGTGCCGCCCTGACTGACTGATATGATGGTTAGTTATTAAGTTGTCAAGTAAATCTCAAAGTAAAATTTCTCAAATAAACAGCATAACAACTTACAATATACGTTTTAAGCATGAGGCAGAACTTCCCAGCATTCTTAGCAGTTTCGTAGATTCTGGTATAACATGTTGTCCTCATGCTAACGCTTAGGTTTGAATGTATTTTACCTGTTTTGGTTATTTTAACCATGATGGTGTTTGTCTTTAAATTTATCAGTTCTGCCTGGGTTTTTGTTATAAAATGCAGTTGATCAGCCAGTGGGTAATGTCTGAAGTTTGTTTCTTTAGTTTTGTACTGGAGCTAAGAGGCTAATGTAGCTAAAATGCAATGCAAACATGTCTCTCACAAATCAGCAGTGGACGAAGTACATGTCGAAGTTACCATGTTGGTGAAGTATAGTGGGTAATACTGCTGCCCTATACACATCAGACTGGGGTTTGATTCCCGGCCCAGGGAAACATATCACACTTCACATGTCCTTGGGCAAGACTCCTAACTCTACAATAGCCAAAATGTAGGGATGCCACACAAAACCCATTAATTAACAGTAAAAATGTGAAAAAACGTGATTGTGTTTTTGTGAATTTACTTCTATTTCTATAAATTTAAAATAATGTTGACATATGTTTGTGTATGTATTTGCTTCATTTACAAGAATCTAACCTGAACTTAACGTAATAAACGACTGTTGACTATTAAAGTTTACAGTACATTGATAGTGAACATGCAGTTTTTGCTTCTTTTTACAGTGTCCATCTAAAAAGAAAAGGTTCTTTAAGGTGTCTTTAAGGTTCTTAAAGACAATGGTTCTATATAGAACCATGAACACTCAAAGAACCATTTGCATGTATAAAAGGTTCTTTGCATGGTGAAAGACTGATGAAGAATGTATTGTATATGGTTCTGTACAGAACCTTTTTGAAAGTGGTTCTATGTAGCACCAAAAGGGTTCTTTTATATTGTTACAATGTTAAGCTTGTAACAGCAACAGAACGCTTTTTGGTTCCTTTATAGAAATCTGAAGAATAAATCTAAAGAGCATATTCACCATACAATGAACCATTCAAGAATGCATTTAAGCAATTATTATTTGAGTGTTCATGGTTCTATATAGAACTGTCTTTACTAAAGAACCCTCGAAGAACCATAATTTTAATAATGTACTTCTGTAACATGATTAAACTTTCCATTGCTTTGGATAAGAGAGTCTGCTAAATGAATCAATTCATGTTCAGTAATCTCTAATAGAGTCGTTTATTGTTTCTGGCGCTGTGTAAGTGTTATCATAAACATAGGCAAAAAAAAAAAACTGAAAAAAAAACTGAAGAAATCTTAAAGCCTG